GTTGTTCCTGTTCCCGAAGTCTATGGATGGAAACACAATGAAATTCTACAAATACCGGTTTACACAAGCGAAAGGATTGAGGTTCAAGATGATTGCGACACAGAAACAATTTAAAAAAAACAACAATAATTATTAGTTCACCTCTCCCGCTAGTTCTAATGTTTTTTAAATTTGAAAAAAAAACAAAAAAAAAAGGAAAACACATGGAAAATCAAAAAACAAAACTTCAAAACCGAAAAAAAGGGAAACAACATAAATGGGAAAAACATGAAAGGAAAAAACGAAAAAAAAAAGGAAAAAGTATGGACTTGTCCATTTGCATTTTTGTTGTTTTTTTTTGCTTTTTCGATTTGTTTTTTTTGCTTTTGTTTTGCTTTTATTTTGCTTTTTGCCTGGAAAAAAAACAAAATAACAACAAAAAAACAAACAAAAAACAAATCAAAAAAACAAAAAAAAAAACAAAAAAAATGCAAATGGACAAGTCCATTTTTTTTTCCATTTTTTCCCCTTTTTGTCTTTCCTTTTTCCCCCTTTTTTTCCCTTTTATTTTGCTTTTGTGTTTTTTGGATTTTGCTGATTTGCTTTTTGGTTTTCCCATTTTTTTGGATTTTTCGCGTTTTTTTTCAACTTAAAGCAAGAAGGGTTTGGTGAACTTAAAGCAAGAAGGAAGAAGAGAGTCATGATTAGGGCAAAATTTGCAGGAAGTGGTAAACATTTCATTGGAAAACATTTCAACGACCTAAGTTATAATACACTTTTTGGTGTTCCTCAAAATATGCAAAAGCAAAATGTTCCATGCGATGCAGTCACCCAAAATACATTATTCAGTGTTCCTGTGTGTAAGGGGGAAAACAGGCTACCAAAGTATGATTATAACGGTTATGATGTAATCTTTTTTGATGAAATCTAAAATGTCAAGTCCTTATATCTTGAATAAGATAAGCTGCAATGAAAACCCTCATTTGATTGTAATAGGCGCAGGTGATGTCAAACAATTTCCAAGCATAGAGTCCTTCACCAACAACCAAAATAGAGAGGAGTATGTTGACAATTGCATTGACATAATTTTCAAACACAATATCTTTTTGCAGATACGCAAAAGAGTAGGAGGTAAAGATACAGAAGAGGGAAAGGAAAAGAGAAAAGTTAAATGAAATCTATGATGATTTTTGGGAAAAATGGATGAATCTTAGTGATATAAGGAAATGCACTTATAAAAATAATACCTTATAATAGTATGGAGAGTAGAAAGTGCACAAAGTGTAAGAAAAATAGAAATGGTGACGAGTTCACTGGAATGTATAGAATGTGTATTGAATGCTTGGACAAACAAAAGGAGAGTAACACAGTATATTATAATCAAAAGGAAGTATTCTGCGACATTTGCCGGCGGAATGTGAAACAATGCAGGTTGTCCAAACATCTTAAAACCGGCAGGCATATCAACAAGAAAAAACTCAAAAAGGAAGGAGAGAAAAATCAAAAAGAGATGGAGGAATACTTAAAAGATGATGAAACCAAATTGAAACAAATCTGGAAAACCATTGCACCAAAAAACTTTAAAAGACTTTAACCCTACAATTTTTCATATCATAATTTATGAAAAATATGATACGAACATAGGAATGTTAGAGATGGATGATTTAGATTTATGATATTACTTTATGATATTATATTATGATACCATATTTTGATGAAATTTATGATGAAACATTATGATGAAATTTTATGATTTGAATTTATGTGATGATGGATGATGATGAAATGATGTGGTTTTATTTTGTGTTGATACTGTGATCAAATGATACGAAATATTGTGAAAATAAACTGTGGTAAATGATGAAATGATGGAGGTGGATGGTATGAACTTAGGTGTGTTTGTGTCTAGCTATATGTGTATATATAATATATATATATTTCAATAACATACAGATATGAAAACATTGGAATTATAACCAAATGTCTCATTCCTTTCACGATGATGATCCGCAGAGATCCACAGAGGGAACCCCTTTAACACAAATGGCTAATGACTTCTTTCTCACAACCCTTTAACACAGATGTTTGCATAAAAGTCCATTCAATCCATAAGAATATATGCCCCAGTGCCTACAAGATAAAGGAAGAAACCCTAAATTAGCATAAAACCTCACTTGAAAAACTACCCAGAACTAAGAAAAAATAGGTCTGGGTAATACTGCTTACACTCCATTGGCTAAGCTGCACATGACTTCTTTCTCACAACCCTTTAACACAGATGTCCGCATAAAATCCCATTCAATCCATAAGAATGTTTATGCCCCAGTGCCTACAAGATAAAGGAAGAAACCCTAAATTAGCATAAAACCTCACTTGAAAAACTACCCAGACCTAAGAAAAAAATAAGTCTGGGGAATACTGCTTACACTCCATTGGCTAAGCTGCACATGACTTCTTTCTCACAACCCTTTAACACAGATGTCCGCATAAAATCCCATTCAATCCATAAGAATGTTTATGCCCCAGTGCCTACAAGATAAAGGAAGAAACCCTAAATTAGCATAAAACCTCACTTGAAAAACTACCCAGACCTAAGAAAATTAAGGCTGGGGAATACTGCTTACACTCCATTGGCTAAGCTGCACTAGCCTAGCTATTCACCCACTGAGACATTCTGCCAGAGTGGCTTGGTGCAGCCACTCAGCCACTCAGCAGCTCTGCCAGAGTGGCTGCTTCGATTTCGCGAGCCGTGTTGCACATCCACTCGAAGCTTTTATTCAGAGAAGCCTTTAAACAGAGCAGCTTTTACAGGCACAGAAGCTTTTACACAGAGAATATTTTGCACAGGCTTTTTCACAGACAAGCGTTTGCGGGAAGGAACTTTGAGCACAAACGTTTTTTAGATACAGCAGCTTTCACACAGAGAAACTTTTGCGCGGACCAGCTTTTACACTCAGGTTTGTTTTCACAGAGCCGCGTTTACGCGGAGAACTTTTACACACCGAAGCTTTGACGCAGAGAGGCCTTTACACAGAGAAGCTTGTACACACAGAAGCTTTTACACACAGACGCCTTCGCGCACACACACACAGATGCCTGTACACAGAGCAGCTTTGACACACACAGACGCTTTTACACAGAGAAGCCGTTACACAGAGCAACTTTTACACAGTGCGGCTTTTACACAGAGACGCCTTTACACAAAGAAGCTTTTCTACACAAACGCTTTTACACATAGAGGCCTTTACACACAGAAGCTTTTACGCACAGAGGTTTTCACACGGAAACTTTACACAGAGAAGCTTTTACACAGAGAAGCGTCTAAACGGAGCATCTTTAATACACAGAAGCATTTACACACACAAATTTACACACACACACGCGCCTTTGCACACAGAGCTTTTACACACAGACGCTTTTACGCATAGAAGCTTGTTCACAGAGCAGGGTTTACACAGAGCACAGAGAGAGGCCTTTGCACAGAGCAGCTTTGACAATCTCATACGCGCAGAAACTTTAAACACGCCCTTGTAAAATCGCAATTTTACACAAGTTTTATTTCGCGCGAAACGGTTGTGCCTGACGTTTCAAAATGGATAAAGTCGCAATTTGACACCAGTTCTTGAACGTTGGCATCTGACGTTAAAAAATCGCAGTTTTCCCACAGTTATTGCCGTTTGACTTTCATGCCACGCTTGCATCTGAACTTTCAAAATCACAATTTTACACCAGTTTTTGACGGTTGACCCTCATTTCGTGCGAAGGGGCTGCGCCGGGCTTCACCAAATTTGCATTTTGCCACATGTTTGGATGTCCGACCTGCGCGATCTCTGAAGAGGGTTGCCCGTGCCCAAAAGAAATTCACATTCCACCACATGTTTGGGCGTTCAAAACGCACGATCTCCGCAGACGGCTGCTGCGGGCAAAGAAGTTTCGCATTTCACCACACCACATGTTTCCATCCGACACGCGCCATCTCCGCAGAGGGTTGCCCAAGGACAAACAAGACCCGCATTTCGCCACACGTTTGGGTGTCCGACACGCCGCAGAGGGTAACGATTCGTAAGCCACTGCCTGGCTGTCCTTGCCACCAGAGAGAAATAGAAGAACTGGAGAAGTCTGATTTTGCAGGAGTTCAGATACAATTTGATCACCTGGAAGTTAGCTGAACCCCTGTGTAGCAACTCCTGTGTAACAATTTCTGTGCAAAATGACCTTGCCGGCAGGAGTCTTGTAGGAGTTCAAGTAAGAGTGGATCACCTGCAAGTCAACTCCTGTGTAAATGACATTGTTCAAGTTTTGTAGGAGTTCCCTAGAAGTTGATCACCTGTAGCTGATGTAGGCGATGTTGTCTATGTTGTAGATGATGAGGATGATGTTGTAAGTGATGTAAGGTTAGATAGATTTGAAGATGTAGGTGATGTAGAGGATGCAGTGATATAGATGATGATGTAGGTCATGTATGCGTTGTAGGTGATGTATATCATGTAGATGAGGTTGATGGAAAACGTGTAGGTGGTGTAGATAATGTAGGTGAGACAGATGTAGGTGATGATGATGATGATGGTGATGATGATGATGATGGTGATAATGATGATGATGGTGTAGATGTAGATGTAGATCTAGAGAAGATGGTGTAGAATATGGTATAGAAGATGTAGATGATGTAAAGGACATAAGAGATGTGGATGATGTATGTTAGGTAGATGAAGTGAAGAGTGAGGCGGACAGCAGTTCTTTGGGAAAAAACCTTCGCACGAGCTTCGGGAATTTTGGCCACAGTATTGCGAACGCTTTTGGAAAAGCGGTTTTTCATAAAGTGTTTGTGCTGTGATTGCGCCTTGTACGCCCGACCTCTAGAGTAAGAAGGGCGGGGCAATAAACATACTTCACTCATTACGTGTTTGGCAACTGTTTTTGTTTCTGGCTGTTGGGGATACTCTTTGGGCTTATTTTCATATTTGCATATTTGTTCTCAGGATTTCAGTGATCAGGTTTTGACGATAGAGCCCACGAACAAGATGCCAGCCTTGATCTGTCGCTGCCTCCAGGCCTTGGCCGAGGCACTTAAAATCAACAAGTGCATCACGGACTTCATTTTGTATGACAACGACATTGGCGCCGAGGGTGCCAAGGCCTTGTGTGGTGGGCTCTGTTGAATGCTGCGGCATGTCATGATGTCACGTCCCCGACATCCTTTGACAGAAAAAAAATTGGATGGTTTGGAGGTGCTGTAGTTTCATCGTTCATCTCGGATCGAGTTGAGTTGTCAGCAAATATATAGATGCTGAATGAAACTGTGGATTTCTGGATTGTTTTTCCTAGTTTTGAATCAGAGAGATTCGACATGTCTTAGTTGAATGTCTTTTTGTTTGAGCATTTCAGAAATCAGGTTTTGTCCGAAGGGCCCTCTAACAAGACGCCAACCTTGATCTGTCGCTGCCTCCAGGCCTTGGCCGAGACACTGAAGATAAACGCGTCCGTCACAAACATCGATTTGTCCGTGAGGCAGATTGGCGACGAGGGCGCCAAGGCCTGGTGTGTGGTGGGCTCTGTTGAATGCTTTGACAGTGACAAGTTTGGATGGTTTGGAGGCCCTGTAGTTTCATGATTCATCTCTGTTCAAGGAAAGTTGTCAGCTGTGTAGATGCCGTAAGCAACTGTCGCTTTCTGCATTGTTTGCTAAGTTTTGTATCAGAGAGATTCACATGTCAGAGTTAAATGTCTCGTGTTCTCAGGATTTCAGTGATCAGGATTTGACGGTAGAGCGCTGGAACAAGAGTCCAACCTTCATCTGATAGAATCTGTGTCTGTTTCCAGGCCTTGGCTAAGGCATTGAAGATAAACACATCCGTCACAAACATCAAGTTGGAACCTAACGACATTGGCATGACGTCATGTATGATGTCATGTGTTCGACATCCTTGTGACATTGAGAAGTTTGGATGGTTTGAAGGTGCAGTAGTTTTATGGTTCATCTCTGAATGAGGAGGGATGTCAAACATGTAGGTGCTGAAAAAGTGTGTTGATGTCTGGGTCGTCTTGTGTCTTTTGAATCAGAGAGATTCGACACTTCGTTAGCTGTCAGTTAAACGTCATTTTTTCTTGGAATTCAGATTATCAGGTTTTGTCTGTAGAGACCTCAAATCCAGATGCCAGCCTCGATCTGTCGCTGGCTTCAGGCCTTGGCCGAGGCACTGAAGATAAACGCGTCCATTACGAACATCTATTTGAATTGTAACGAGATTGGTGTCGAGGGCACCAAGGCCTGGTGTGTGGTGGCTTTCGCTGATGGCTGCAGAAAGTCATGATTTGATGATTTTTGATGTATGATGTCTTGTCCCTGACATCGTCTGACAGTGACAAGTTTGGATGGTTTGGGGGTGCTGGAGTTTCGTCATTCATAGTTGATCGAGGAGACTTCTTCGAGCATGTAGATGGTAAAGAAAGTGTGAATTTCTGGATTGATTGCCATTGTTTTCTAGGTTTCGCATCAGAGAGATTCACATGTCTGGGTTAAATGTATTTTTTTCAGATTTGCATATTTGCTCTCAGGATTTCAGTGATCAGGTTTTGACGGTAGAGCCCACGAACAAGATGCCAGCCTTGATCTGTCGCTGCCTCCAGGCCTTGGCCGAGGCACTGAAGACAAACGCGTCCATTACGAACATCAATTTGGGATCTACCCACATTGGCGACGAGGGCGCCAAGGCCTGGTGTGTGGTGGGCTCTGTTGAATGCTTTGACAGTGACAAGTTTAGATGGTTTGGAGGTGCTGTAGTTTCATCATTCATCTCTGTTCAAGGAAAATTGTCAAATGTGTAGATGCTGTAAGCAACTGTCGCTTTCTGCATTGTTTGCTAAGTTTTGTATCAGAGAGATTTACATGTCAGAGTTAAATGTCTCGTGTTCTCAGGATTTCAGTGATCAGGTTTTGACGGTAGAGCCCACGAACAAGATGCCAGCCTTGATCTGTCGCTGCCTCCAGGCCTTGGCCGAGGCACTGAAGACAAACGCGTCCATTACGAACATCAATTTGGGATCTACCCACATTGGCGACGAGGGCGCCAAGGCCTGGTGTGTGGTGGGCTCTGTTGAATGCTTTGACAGTGACAAGTTTAGATGGTTTGGAGGTGCTGTAGTTTCATCATTCATCTCTGTTCAAGGAAAATTGTCAAATGTGTAGATGCTGTAAGCAACGGTCGCTTTCTGAATTGTTTGCTAAGTTTTGTATCAGAGAGATTCACATGTCAGAGTTGAATGTCTCGTGTTCTCAGGATTTCAGTGATCAGGTTTTGACGGTAGAGCCCACGAACAAGATGCCAGCCTTGATTTGTCGCTGCCTCCAGGCCTTGGCCGAGGCGCTGAAGATAAACGGGTCCGTCACGAACATCGATTTGCGAGAAAACAAGATTGGCGCAGAGGGTGCCAAGGCCTGGTGCGTGGTGGGCTCTGTTGAATGCTGCGGCATGTCATGATGTCACGTCCCCGACATCCTTTGACAGTGGCAAGTTTAGATGGTTTGGAGGTGCTGTAGTTTCATCATTCATCTTTCATCGCGAGGAGAGTTGTCAAATTTATAGATGCTGAATGAAACTGTGGATTTCTGGATTGTTCGTGCAAGGGTTCAATCAGAGAGATTTTGCAGGTCTTAGTTAAATTGAATGTCCTTTGGTCAGAGGATTTGAGATCTACGGTTTTGTGTGTAGGGCCCTCAAAATCTAGACGCCAACCTTGATCTGTCGCTGCCTCCAGGCCTTGGCCGAGGCACTGCAGATCAACAAGTCCATCACGAACATCGATTTGCAATACAACCAGATTGGCGCCGAGGGTGCCAAGGCCTGGTGTGTGGTGGGCTCTGTTGAATGCTTTGACAGTGACAAGTTTAGATGGTTTGGAGGTGCTGTAGTTTCATCATTCATCTCTGATCGAGGAGAGTTGTCAAATATGTAGATGCTGTAAGCAGTTGTTGATTTCTGGATTGTTTGCCACGTTTTATATCAGAGAGATTCACATGTCTCAGTGAAATGTCAATTGATTTTGACCATAGAGCCCTCGAGCAAGACGCCAACCTTGATATGTCGCTGCCTCCAGGCCTTGGCCGAGGCGCTGAAGATAAACGGGTCCGTCACGAACATCGATTTGCAATACAACCAGATTGGGGCCGAGGGTGCCAAGGCCTGATGTGTGGTGGGCTTCGCAGAATACTCGCTGAATGCTGCGGCATGTATTGATGTCATTTTTTGACAGTCAGACGTAGGATTGCAGCCTCATCGAGTGAATAGACATGCTCCTGGGAAATGAATTAAATCAGCATCCAGGCAAGTTGAATCCATGTTCTTCATCCTTAGGAATCCGGAGGAGACCTCCTCTACCAATGATCTGGGATATAATATAATTATCTGCATCCACTTGCAGTTAGATTACATTTAAGTCATTTTCCTAGCATTCAGGTGTTGTCTCATTACATTCAGGTGTTACGTTTGCGGTTTGACTCAGATGCAAGGCAACTGCACGCACTTTTTTCCTTGATTTTTGCAACACAGTCATGCTCTGGATTTTGCATTCTACGGTTTGCAAGGCCGAACTGAGGTGCCCCATGTACAATGTAATCTTCAATGCAATTAATGTTATAGGTCTTATTGCATTGGTACTGTGTGTCTGCGCAATGATTCGAATAATTGTGCTGCATGATATTGTGCTGCAATGATGGTGTTGGACTGTTTGCCATTGGCACTGCCATGCTCATACCGCAACACCAGCAAACAGTGACCCTTATCACGCACCATAAACCCATAGAAAGATTGACTAACACGGCTTTCATGACCCATCTCAACTTCAAGCTTGGCTGAAAAACCGGTATGGGCAGTGCATGACTTCAAACAAAGCATGTTCATGCAGGGCGTCCCGGCGTCCCGGCACCAGTGATGATAAAACGCAACCCAATCTTTCACCATCTTTGGCGCAGTGAACAATACAGCGCATTCGCCTTTTTCATTAGTAAATCAAAATCAGACTTTCATTACCAGCACATAATTCGGCTTCCTGCAGGTTTGTTTGCATTGAAATCATGTTCCTGCTGCTACTGTCCCCTGCCATTTAAATTGCGGCTTTTTCGGGAGCCTTTTTTGCAAAGTGTTTTACTTTGACAGGGGACAATAGCAGCAGGAACATAATTTCAATGCAAACAAACCAGTAGGAACCCGAATTATGTGCTGGCAATGAAAATCTGATTTTGATTTACCAATGAAAAAGGCGAATGCGTTGTATTGTTCACTGCGCCAAAGATGGTGAAAGATTGGGTCTCGTTTTATCATCACTGGTGCCGGGACGCCGGGACGCCCTGCATGAACATGCTTTGTTTGAAGTCATGCGCTGCCCATACCGGTTTTCCGTGTAAAGACCACTCAGCCAAGATTCAATTTGTGTTTTTTTTGTTTTTTTTTGGTCATTAAAACCATGTCAGTCAATCTTTCTATCGGTTTATGTTGCGTGATAAGCGTCATTGTTTGCAAGTGTTGCGGTTTGAGCGTGGCAATGCCAATGGCAAAAAGTCCAACACCACCATTGCAGCGCAATTATTTCAATCGTTACACAGACACACAGTACCAACCGAAAATAGTAATACATAACAGTGGCATCTATTTGGTTGAAAACTACTTTTTACATAGTGCACCTTTGTTTAGTTTTTCAAACAGTAGAAGTGCAAAATCCAAAACATGACTGCGTGCAGTTGCCCTGCTGCAAACATGACACCTGAACGCAATGAGACAACACCTGAATGCTATGAGAATGATTTATTTCCGAATTTCCGTTTGATGTAGAATGAGCTGGAGATGCATGTCCTTTGGCTATGTTTTGATCAAATCTAGGGCATTGCTACAACAGGAATCACACCCGCAGTTAATTCCAGGAAATCTTGCTGCAGAGAACCATTCCAAAGTTCAATATAAGAGACTGATATAAAGATTTTCTGAATTCAATCAGAGGTAGCTTCAGCAGAGGGTGTGATTCCTTCAGGGTGACCCCAGGGTGTCTCACATGTTTCCTTTGCAGGCTCCATGTTTTCATATGTTTTCTGATCAATGTGTGATCAATGTGTTTGATTTTCTGCTGCAAACCTTTGAAGGCTGGCAGGCACGGCGGACAGTTTTTACAGACACTTTGGTCCGACCCGCTTTCCCCATGGCATGCCCTTAGCACATGTTGGCAGGAAGAGCGTGACAGGCAAGCGCGCAGAACTCCTTTCGAAACTCCAGTCCGTCTCCAGGCCCGTTTGTCGTCTCGCGTGACAATGGTGTCAGTTTTTAATTCAAGTGTCTACGTGCACGGATGGCACTGCTCACGCGTGAAAATGTGCATGCCCTTAATCACATACAGGTTAATTTTATAAGTTCTTTCCATGTCGTTGTTCCTTGGAAACCTGGGCACTTAAAAGGTTATGGCCAGGTTTCTATTCACGCTGCCTTTTGTTCTGACTGAAAGCCTTGATCTGTCGCTGCCTCCAGGCCTTGGCCGAGGCGCTGAAGATAAACACGTCCCTCACATGCATCGGTTCGTTTGACAAGCATGTTGGTGACGAGGGGGCCAAGGCCTGGTGTCTGGTGGGCTCTGCTGAACGCCGCTGCATGTCATGATGTCACTTTCCCGACTTCCTGTGACAGTGACAAGTTTGCATGGTTTGGAGGTGCTGTAGTTTCATCGTTCATCCCTGATCGAGTTGAGTTGTCAGCAAATATGTAAATGCTGAATGGGGATTGTTTTCCAAGTTTTGAATCAGAGAGATTCGACATGAACTTATGATTTAATCAGTTGTCATGTCAGAGAGCACGTGTGTAGAATCAGTTGGTCAATGACCACTGTGGTTTTGGTTCAGGGAGTGAGGGCTCCTCAGGTGACCCTGCACTGATGGCTGCTTAGAGAAACAAAGCGATGCTCCCTCGAGCGCTTTGAGTCCCTGTGGGATGGGGCCATCCGGTACATCCTCTTCAAGTGTCTTGATGACCAAGGGGCCCCGCAGGGAAAAGCCGTTGGACGAGTCTTGCAACGCTACAGGCCTGACACTGATGGTGCCTTCATACGTCTGGAGTACATTGCCGTCACTGACTTCTACTATGAGCACTGGCTTAGGGACGAAGGACAGAAGGTGAGGTTCCATCATGTGTGCAGGAATTCTCTGAGCACTTGCAAGAGGAAGGTTGGTGGGGAGCCGATCGTCCACATCCAGAAGATGGCTTTCATGCGCGTTGACGAGGTGGGAGCTTGCTTGAAGGAGTGGAAAGTGAAGCGCTTAGGCTTAGATGAAGAGGTTCCCGGGGCCAAAGGCAAAAAGAAGGCGCTCCCCTTGAAAGATACAGAGCCTGAAGGGCCTTGTACAGCACCAAAGCCGAAGCCCGGGACGAGAGGAAGAGAGAAAGGCACTCCGGTGGTGGCCGGGGAAGGTCTGGGGATTCAAGGTCTTTCAGCTATGACTTCGAGGAGGACTCGGATGTGGGAAAATCGAATGCGCCAAGAAGACGTAGAAGGAGAAGGAGATCAGATGGTGAGGATGAGAGAAGGAGCTTCCGGGGAAAGACCTTGAGAGAGCCCGGGGCACTGTGGGAGCAGTCGCGCGCAGCACTCGAGCTGCTCGCCAGAAGCAGCCAACGCCCTTGGATGCCATGTTGGAGGATGACTTGCTGGGACCAGATAAGACAGAGGAAGACAAATGTGTTGAGGAGCTGAGGAGATCGCTTGATGAAAGAAAGAGGAAGGCCAGGAAGGAGGATACACCAGCTGGACCTAGCGCTGTGCTGGCCCAGAGGGTGCAGTCCCTTGAAGAAGTGCAAGAGGGACTCGCAAAAAGAGAAGGTGACAAAGGCTCTGAAGGTCTTGACAGGGCGCGGAAAAGATGGCTCTTCAAGCAGTGAAGCAGAAAGTGATGACGGTGAAGAGGAGTATTTACACGGAGGCAAGGATGGCGATCTGCTCAGCAGGCTCACGAGGGGGTTTGCCCCCATGCACGAGCAGCTCGGGACCCTGTATGGTGATAGCACAGTTAGTGGTGCAGGAAGTGCTAAGGAAGTCCTGCAGCCGGCTGCTGTGCGATACCTGCTATCAAGTGCCCTTCCCCTAGTTGACACCCGACTAGTGGGTGAGGAGAAATTGAGGGAGCTGCGTGCACTCGCCACGGGTTTGGACATGTTGGTCCAGGGGCGTGTATCGATGACCGCAGCGTTTCAAGAGCTTGCTCATGAGCATCCGAGATCAATCCACAGCGGCCTCTAAATACTTGGAACTCATCCCACTCGAGCTCTACCCTACCGCATCGACAAATGAGGAGATAGACTACGCCCGGCAGTTGGCAGTCAAAAAGGCAAAGAGCGAGGCATTGTTGGCTCGAGTGGCGGTGGGCTAGGGACTCGGCAGGGCGGCTGAGGAGCCCCCACGCTCCTCACCCCTTCAACGCCATCCCCCAATAGCAGCAAGTGAGAAGGAGGAAGAGCCGCGCAGGAGTGCCCTGCGCATTGACAAGAGGCCGCAAAGCCGCAGTCTCAGCCCTCTGGCCCCGAGGGTGCGAGTTGGTGTGCCGGAGCGGGTTGAGATACCGGCTTTAAGCCTTGACCCGCAGCCACACCTCATGAGGATGAAGGATGCCAGGGGTGCAGTGCCGTGGAAAGATGGAGAGACACGTTCGCGGTGGAAGGCAAGGGTCTAGGCCGTCTAGGCCTTCAAGAGGAGCGAAGAGGAAGGAAAGAAAAAGGAGGAGGACAGATGAGAGGTGAGAGTCAACCCTGTGGTGGCAGGGGGTGGGACAGCTGCAGAGGGCAGTGATCCTGTGTTGGCAGGATTGACACATGAGATGTGCTTCATCCCCTGTGGCGGCAGGGCTGGCTCATTACTTTATGCAGCTGGGATGGAATGGCCTAGTGTAAGTCGTAGTGGCTGGTGCTGCAGTAAAGGCGGACAGGGGAAATAGATTTAGTTGCCTGTGAAAACGCAAGCGCCAGCTGAGTGTTTGGATCCCGGTTCGGCATTAGGACGACCCAACTTAAACTGGAATAGAGCTTGTGATTGTTCATGACTTGCTGGCGATTGTCGACACATATCATCTTTTTCCGTTCTATCTTGTTGCACTGCCGGATTGGAACTTGCAATTAGGAGTGTTACCCTGCAGCTCTTACTGTCGAGCTCACGAGATGAGCAAGAGTTTTTCAAGTGTTGATTTGGGCGTTGCCATTTCAAATGTACTCCAGTCACCAACTCGGGTTAGGGATGGTTTCCGTTGCCCTTTCCCCAGTAGGAGCTGCTCTACAGGTTTCTTTCAGGCGCATGCCACAGACACTGGTTTGCTACAGCGGGAGCGGACTTGCGGGCCTGGCAAAAAGATAATCAGTCGACGGCAGATAGTCCATGTACTTGAGGTTCGTTACAATCCATGTTTTTTGGGATGTGGACCCAAGCGAAGTTACCCAGCAGGAGGTGGTCTGGGATCCCAGAAACAGTTGGCTGAATATCGTCCATTGAGTCAATAATGCGTGCAGTAAGCCCCTTGGAGCACTGTTCTGGAAAAGTTTTTCCGAGGTGGTCCCGAGTCATAGCTTGTGTTGAGGGAAGAGGTTCCTCATTCCCTGCCGCTCAGGTTTGCCGCATGGGCATTGCAGGCTCGCTTTGTGCAGCGCAGGCTGCAGCAGGTGAATTAAGGCCTGTAGGTGGGGAGTCCTCTGTTAATCAGTTATTATTGCTGACTGTGATATGAACCGCAGATCCCTTAAGTGAGTCTTTCCAATAGTGATCCCCAGTGGTTGGTTCCTTGCAGTACGGCCTTTGCTCCTCTTGCATCGGCAATTTGGGCTGCAGTTGAATCCAGTTGTGGCTGGGCTTTAGCTGGGGTTGGCCACTACGACAATCCTGTGGCTTAAACATAACAGAGTGGTTGGACGGTTTGGTTTCAGCTCTGATGTGGGTCAGGGTGGTGGCAGTCTGCGCATTTCTGGTTGGGCAACATGTTGCTTGATTTTCTGGTAGCAGACTCAACACAAACTAATTAGGAATTTTACGACGTAGCTGGCGTAGCTTTCATTGCACCTGAGGCTGGCCCGGCGTGCTACGTGCCGACAGGATGGGCGTCTTCCTCACGTCGCATGTGGAGCGCGACCCACGTGAGAAATGCCGCTGGCCACCACTCTGCAGATTTGCGGCGCGGTGCCTCGACGAAGTTCTCTGTGCTAACGTGGTTGGGTTGGGTAGGTGTTTTACTGCCAACATTTGTCTCCCAACTCCCAACTCCGTAGCATGTGTCTCCACCAAAATGTGGGGCCGGGGGGATTCCGGTTTGAACTGGGACTTAGCCATGCCCAGGGGTCCAAGCACATTGGCTTCAAGTAAAAGTTGTTCATGGCAACAGCTAAAAGTTTCCTACACGCAACAGCCCCTTTATTGGAAACACAGGAAATGACGCATGAGCTCTTCAACTGAGAACCTAGTGAGTTGGCTGTTACTTGCCCTGCTGCTATCTTCAAAGTCCGTAGCTGTCAATTCAGGTTCAGAAAGTTGATCAGTAACCATATTGCCGTGTGTGTCGCTGATGCAGTCGCTTCCTGAAGAGTCCGAGATACACAAGTTAGCCCTGCTGGCCGTCAAACAGATGGGCAGACAGACCCAGAGGCAAGTAGAAGCTCTCCGGCAAGAAAGGAAGCGGCAAAGGGCTGGTCAAACACTAGGAGATAAAGTTTTAACCCTGGGATTGCATGACCGAATATCATAAGGCAGCTTTGCGCATCTTGACTTTTTGGAAAGAGTCGGAAATGTAACCCGCTTCATGGGATGCTGTGGATGTAGCCACCTCGGCTTGGTTAGAACACATCATTGCTGAAGGGGGAAATGGTGGTCTGTGAAAGCAGAGTTGCCAACCTCTGGTTGTCCAAAGCTCTCGCAACCAAAGGAGATGATAGCCTCCTCTGGGATGAGAAACCAGAGAAGCTGCGAAGTCTGTTCTTTGGTATCCTAGATCATCTCCAGATACAAGGGAACTTTTCCATGTACAGCTTCAGGAGAGGAGGCGCTACTTGGCATTTTTTGACTTGCCAGGGCCTGGAAAACACTCTTCTTCGCAGCCGATGGGCCTCTAGCTCCACCGCCCGCATCTACCTTCAGGATGCGGCGGATCTCACAAGGTCAACGTGTGTATATGCAACAGTTGAGCAAATATCTGACGGGTGAGGCCAGAGAGGAAACCGTGGAAGGGTGAGCGAATTAACCTTGTCTCATACCATCAGGGTGCTTCGTTTTTTTTGATTCCAAAGTCTTTAAGTCTTTTTGTCCTAGTGGAAGCTAGGATCGAGATGAGTTGGAGGTCACCTAGGTGAAGGCCTAGGGGTGTAGCAGCAAGAAGCGTTCTGACGGGTGAGAATGCAGGTGCCAGTGTAAACATCAGCTGGTTTCTTGTGATCGTTTGGCCATCACTATGAAAAACTCTGGTGATGGAGCAAAAGGCTGCGTCATGACATGTCTCAGTTGAATGTTTTTTTGTTTGACCGTTTCAGAAATCAGGGTTTGTCCAAAGGGCCCTCGAACAAGATGCCAACCTTGACCTGTCCCTGCCTCCAGGCCTTGGGCGAGGCACTGAAGGTCAACGGGTCCGTCACAGAAATATATTTGGGATGCAACCATGTTGGTGACGAGGGGGTCAAGGCCTGGTGTCTGTTGTGCTCTGCTGAATGCCGCGGCATGTCATGATCGACATCCTGTGACAGTGAGAAGTTTGGATGGTTTGGAGGCGCTGTAGTTTCATCATTGACCTTTCATCGCGAGGAGAGTTGTCAAATACGTAGATGCTGAATGAAACTGTGGATTCCTGGATTGTTCTTGCAAGGGTTCAATCAGAGAGATTTGCAGGTCTTAGTTAAATTAAATGTCCTTTGGTCAGAGGATTTCAGATCTAAGGTTTTGTCTGTAGGGCCCTAGAACAAGACGCCAAGCTTGATCTGTCGCTGCCTCCAGGCCTTAGCCGAGGCACTGAAGATAAACGCATCCGTCACAGACATCGATTTGAGATGCAACCAGATTGGTGCCGAGGGCGCCAAGGCCTGGTGTGTGGTGGGCCGCGGCATGTCATGATGTCACTTTCCCGACATCCTGTGACAGTGAGAATTTTGGATGGTTTGGAGGTGCTGTAGTCATCGTTCATATCGGATCCGAGTTGAGTTGCAAAATACTCCCAATCCAAGCTGTATGTAGATTCTGAATGGAAGTGTGGATGTCTGGATTGTTTTTTCAGGTTTCAAATCAGAGAGAAATTCGACATGTCTCAGTTGAATGTTAATTGTTCGCGGGATTTCAGTGATCTGGTTTTGAGGGTAGAGCCCACGAACAAGACGCCAACCTTGATCTGTCGCTGCCTCCAGGCCTTGGGCGAGGCGCTGAAGACAAATGCGTCCGTCACGAACATCAATTTGCGGGACAACAAGATCGGCGACGAGGGCGCCAAGGCCTGTGGTGTGTGGTGGGCATGTCATGATGTCACTTTCCCGACATCCTGTGACAGTGATAAGTTTGGATGGTTTGGAGGCTGTAGTTTCATTGTTCATCTCGGATCCGAGTTGAGTTGCAAAATACTCCCAATCCAAGCTGTATGTAGATTCTGAATGGAAGTGTGGATGTCTGGATTGTTTTTTCAGGTTTCAAATCAGAGAGAAATTCGACATGTCTCAGTTGAATGTTAATTGTTCGCGGGATTTCAGTGATCTGGTTTTGAGGGTAGAGCCCACGAACAAGATGCCAGCCTTGATCTGTTGCTGCCTCCAGGCCTTGGCCGAGGCGCTGAAGACAAACGGGTCCGTCACGAACATCACTTTGGATAAGAACCAGATTGGCGACGAGGGGGCCAAGGCCTGGTGTGTGGTGGGCTCTGCTGAATGCCGCGGCATCTCATGATGTCATGTTTTCGACATCCTCTGACAGTGAGAAGTTTGGATGGTTTGCAGCTGCTGTAGTTTCATTGTTCATCTCGGATCGAGTTGAGTTGTCAAATACTCCCGATCCAGCTGTATGGCATACTGTATGTAGATGCTGAATGAAGCTGTGGATTTCTGGATTGTTTTTCCATGTTTTGAATCAGAGAGATTCGACATGTCTCAGTTGAATGTCCTTTTTCCCAAAAGCATCTCCGATGCTTGGGTTCTCGTTTAGTTGCACTCGCCGCGAGGGAGCGATACGGATTTGACGAGAGGGTGGACGGAGGGGAAACCGTGGGAAATAGCTTGGGGAGAGCTCCGTTGAGAGGGAACGGATGGAAGCGACGATTGGGTGGACGGAGGGGAAACCGTGGGAAATAGCAGTTCCGTGGGGAAGGATCGAGATTCAGATGGAAGCGACGAGAGGGTGGACGGGGGGGAAACCGTGGGAAATAGCCTGGGGAGAGCTCCGAGGGGAAGGAGCGATACGGAAGCGACGAGAGGGTGGACGGAAGGGAAACCGTGGGAAATAGCTTGGGGAGAGCTCCGGTGGGAAGGAGCGATACGGGAGTGATGAGAGGGTGGACGGAAGGGAAACCGTGGGAAAGAGCTTGGGGAGTGCTCCGGTGGGAAGGAGCGATACGGGAGTGACGACAGAGTGGACGGAAGGGAAACCGTGGGAAATAATTGGGGAGAGCTCCGGTGGGAAGGAGCGATACGGGAGTGACGACAAGGGAAACTGTGGGAAATAGCTTGTGGAGAGCTCCGGTGGGAAGGAGCGATATACGGGAATGACGACAGGGTGGACGGAAGGGAAACCGTGGGAAATAGCATGCATGGGGAGAGCTCCGGTGGGAAGGAGCGATACGGGAGTGACGACAGGGTGGACAGAAAGGAAACCGTGGGAAATAGCTTGGGGAGAGCTCCGGTGGGAAGGAGTGATACGGGAGTGACGACAGGGTGGACGGAAGGGAAACCGTGGGAAATAGTTTGGGGAGAGCTCCGGTGGGAAGGAGCGATACGGGAGTGATGAGAGGGTGGACGGAAGGGAAACCGTGGGAAATAGCTTGGGGAGAGCTCCGGTGGGAAGGAGCGATACGGGAAGATAGGGTGGACGGAAAGGAAACCGTGGGAAATACATGGGGAGAGCTCCGGTGGGAAGGAGCGATACGGGAGTGACGACAGGGTGGACGGAAGGGACGCCGTGGGAAATAGCTTGGGGAGAGCTCCGGTGGGAAGGAGCGATACGGGAATGACGACAGGGTGGACGGAAGGGAAACTGTGGGAAATAGCTTGGGGAGAGCTCCGTTCGGAAGGAGCGATACGGGAGTGATGAGAGGGTGGACGGAAGGGAAACCGTGTGAAATAGCTTGGGGAGAGCTCCGGTGGGAAGGAGCGATATACGGGAATGACGACAGGGTGGACGGAAAGGAAACCGTGGGAAAGAGCTTGGGGAGGGCTCCGGTGGGAAGGAGCGATACGGGAGTGACGACAGGGTGGACGGAAGGGAAACCGTGGGAAATAAGGTGGGGAGAGCTCCGGCGGGAAGGAGCGATACGGGAATGACGACAGGGTGGACGGAAGGGAAACCGCGGGAAATAGCTTGGGGAGTGCTCCGGTGGGAAGGAGCGATATGGTGGTGTGTGATGGGCTCCGCAGAATCGCTTGTATGTATGCAAGGCTCTTTGTATGTATGCCTACGTGTATGTATGTGTTTGTGTAGGTATGTGTGTCGGTCTGTATGTCTGTCTGCCTGTCAATCTGTATGTATGTATGTCTGTACGTATGTATGTCTGTCTGTCTGTCTGACTGTCTGTATGTGTGTATTTATGTATGTATAGATGTAATGTAATGTAATGTATGTAATGTATGTAATGTATGTAATGTATGTAATGTATGTAATGTATGTAATGTATGTAATGTATGTAATGTATGTAATGTATGTAATGTATGTAATGTATGTAATGTATGTAATGTATGTAATGTAGTAATGTATGTAATGTATGTAATGTATGTAATGTATGTAATGTATGTAATGTATGTAATGTATGTAATGTATGTAATGTATGTAATGTATGTAATGTATGTAATGTATGTAATGCAATGTATGTAATGCATGTAATGTATGTCATGTATGTAATGCATGTATGTAATATATGTATGTAATATATGTATGTAGTGTATGTAATGTATGTAATGTATGTAATGTATGTAATGTATGTAATGTATCTAATGTATGTAATGTATGTAATGTATGTAATGTATGTAATGTATGTAATGTATCTAATGTATGTAATGTATGTAATGTATCTAATGTATGTAATGTATGTAATGTATCTAATGTATGTAATGTATGTAATGTAT